AGCAACTAATTTCTTAGCAATGAGATCCATGGGGCCCTGCTTACAGCACACGATTAAAATGAAGGAAACCCAGAAGACTGGAAAGGAAAGACCTGGATGAGTGGGGAGATGTTCCAGGTTTGACTGGAAAGCCCATAGCAGGGCCACTGGCACTCCCCACATTAAACTATTAATTCAGATCCCAATATCAGGTTTTATTGAACAGAACACATGTACTTTACGATCCACCTGGAATTATGAGTCTGCTTGAGTAACCACGAACAGTTTGAGCGCTTAGAAGATTAACAAGTGACAGCTAGTCACCGAAATAAAATTATGCCCAAAATGGTACAGGATTCACAGAGGGAGGACAAGATAAAAAAGAGCAGCTGAACTGAGTAGAGCTATACGCAGAATTTGCCTTTCATGAAGTAGCAATCCGGGCCTTTGGGAAAATACACTAGTCAACAAATGACGGGGTTGGGCTAACTCTACCTTGTGAAAAAGACTGCTTTCTGGTTCCCATCAGTGCTACTGTCTCTGGGTGGCTCCTCCAGAGAGCTGCCCTGCCTCCCCCGCCCCCGGGCTTCATGTGGATAGATGCTCTGTGTGGATGGCTTAAGTGGGCTCCAGGACCATTGTGTGTCTGGTGGGGCCAAAGGCTGGGGTCTCTGCGATTTTACCTCAAGCTAGCTGCTTCTCTCAACAAAGTCCTCAGCTCTGACAGAATTGACCATCATATCGTCCTCCCCTAAATTTCTTTGTGCCTTCAGACCTGGGTAGTGTAGGTCTCCCCTTGTCAGCCTTCTCCCCACCCAGAGGTTTTGTGCAACTCTCCTCATTTTGATCTGAGCAGGCCCATGCATTTTCTTTTGTAGCCCTACTGAAACCATGTCATTAACAATGCGAAGTTCTAGGAAGATAAAAAGGTATAAGCCTATTTAAAAATCTGTAAGAATATAGATGTAGAATATATTTATAACCTCGAGTATAGGAAAGTTATTTTTTGATTAAGATGTAAAATTTAAATTCCTAAGGGAAAGCACAGATGCATTTTTTAAAACAAATGTCAAGCTTTTTCTCTTTCATATGTGTGTACATGATAAGAGATACAGAGAGGGTATTCACATACTTGGGGACATAGGTGTATGTTTTAAGGACATGTGTGTGTGTGTGTGTGTGTGTGTGTGTGTGTGTGTGTGTGTGTGAAAAAAGTCAGAGGTTGATATCCAGTGTCTTACAATGTTTAAAACTTTTAATAAAGTATTACTGCCTAGACTGTATAAAGATCAACTTTAAATATAAATTATAAATATATAATTTAAATATAAAATTTATTTTTGCAATGTCTGCATTCTTCTATATAAACTATATAAAATGTATTTTGTTTATGTATTCATCCATCCATCCATCCATCTATCCATCCATCCATCCATCCATCCATCCGTTTGTGTTTTTCAGACAGGTTCTCATGTAGCCCAAGCTAGTTTTTACTATGTAACCACAAAGAACCTTGAACTTTCTGATCCTCCTGCTTCCAGCTGCCAAGTGCTAGGATTACAGGTATGTGCCACGATCCCTGACTTCCAAAAAGTGTTTTTAAAGTGTAAGTATGGCTTAAAATAAGACAGTAAATATGCAGAATCACTTTTAAGAGGCACATTATTAGGAAAATGGATAAGCACAGGAACTGGCCCTTCCCAGAAGTAACACATTAGAACACTGTATAGATGTACTACATGGATGGTACAATAATAGCAAGTAAATTAACCTGTGATAGCATTTTAACTCTCTTGTGAAAGGCTCTTAAAAATTGGTAATGTCAAGGACTGTTAAACATATAAGGATACTCTTTTACCCACAGACAGTGAGCATGTCTGTCACGACTTTTAAGGATGACGTGACAGCATCTGCGGAAATTATTAACTGCATTCTTTCTCATCCCGTGTTTCATCATCTGCTGTGGATAGAAGTTGGAGTATTTGCTCAAAAAGGCATGCACTTGGATGTCTGTTAAGATCACGACTTGTAACAGGAAAAAAAGAAAAGACCTTAAGAGAATCTAAACGTGAACGTCTTAGAAAGTAATTAGCATATTCATACCACAGATTACATACAGTAGCTTAAAAATCAAGTGCAAATATGCATGTATGTTCTGATATGGACATACTTCTAATAACTTCTACTGAGTGAACACCCATTCAAGTTCAGGGCATCATACGTTCTCCATGTCCCTTCAGAATACAAATTAACTCACGAGAGTTTGAAGCACAACCATAAAACTGCTATCTTTTGCTGCCTTCCTGTGGGAATTCTGGGATTATTGTGGAGAGAATGTCAGGAATTTTTCATTTTTTCTGTATTCTAACGCATATTTTCCGTAACTCCCTCCTTTTCGTATTGCCTGAAAGTTTACAGTGTGACTGTTTATATCTCACCTATAGAATTATAAGTTTTTCAACAAAGAACGATGGCTCAGATAGAGTTCCTGCAGGAGAAAAGAAAAGCGAGGCCTCTTGAGCTGCCTTGCTGCAGGGAGCCTGTCTCCTCCTGTGTGAGTCTGTTGTGAAGATCAGTTAGCCATAGCCTGCCAGGGAGCCGCACATGCAGCTGTGTCCCTGGCCCATGAAAAACATTAGCTGCTTGTTTTCTCTTTCCCATTTGACCCGTGAGGTGGTGCAGGCCTGAAAGCCTCCAATGCCTGGATATCCCAAAAGGGCGAACAAAGAAGAGTTCAGTTCCACTTGTCGAAGGAGTAAATGAACAAGCCACATATGTCCATTGCTGAAACAGAAAAGCGTACATTCACATATGTCGACTGTCAGCGGATAAACAAGGGATGCCTTTCTGGATTCCTCCAGAGTATCAAATATCTCTGGTTTGTGAAAACAAGAAAGCAAAGAACACCAAGGATGTGGTCCAGATAGATGAGGGCTTTGAGAGCGGAAAGACTTTAGTAGAACCATCTTTATCTGAGCCCGGGCTCTGCAGAGCAACCAGGCTACCGTGGATTAGGGACTTGAGTACTAGACCATGAATCCTGGAACCCAGGCTCCAGGCTGAGAGACTGGAAATATACAAAGACAATAACCAGACCTTATGTGACAAGAATCGTGGGACTCCAGCACCTCACTTTTACTCCAGCACCTCCGGAGTTACTCATTGTCTGCTAACTCTCCACTTCCCCCATCACCTCTCCTGCTCTCAAGTTGGAGCCAACTAGAGAAGCCAAATGTATCCTCCAAGAGATGCTTCGCTTCCAGTCAGCCTGCCACCAGCTTCCCCACGGCAACAACCTCTCAGCAGAGTAGACCTGAAGCCTTCTACTGCCCCCCCCACCCCACTCCTGAGGCTTTCCCCTCCCCCTCCTGCCTTTCAAGCTCTGCTGAAAGCCAGTGGTGGTGATTGACTGTCCTGCCGTGCAGTGCAGCCAGCTGTAGTCTTTGGTCCCTGGTCTTTGCTTATTTCCTTAAGGCCCACATTTTGACCAGCACATGCTTAGTATTGCAGTTTATAGACGAGATTTCATCATACGGCCTAAGTGTTCAGACCATCAATGCAAGTAGGCACTAAGAGGCTAACTGCCTTTAACAACAGGCAGGTGTGTCCAGAGATGACCCTGTGGGTTTCCCCACTGGACAGGCACAGCTGATGTCATGGGAGGCCCCGTTACAATCAGCTCTTGGAGGTGGTCTACATCACAGTGTGGGTCTGCATGTCCACATTTAGTAAGTGAAGCAAACACACAACAAAGGGCAGGAGTCAGGACAGGAACATAGCTGGGAAAGTCCAAATCCCCAACTCTATGAAAAACCATGCACGTAAGTTTTGAGACAAGGTGATCTGGATCTCTCTCTGTAGCTGAAGCTGACCTTGAACTTCCGATTTTCCTGGCTCTACTTCCTAAATGCTGGGATTCTGAGCATGTGCCACCACACTGAGCCAAAAAGTAAATGATGCCTTGGGTATTTGGACTGGTGCCCTGCCATCAACTCATGACCGCTTGTCTGTCGAAACCCTAAAATTCTCATCAATCGAAATCAGCCTTTAAATCTACCTCAAATAATTTGTGCCATAAGAAAGAAAAAAAAAATTAAAGGGGCTTTCTACTAAGTTTGGGACATACCACTGAAATGATTAAGAGGTTTGTTTGATTTTGGAAGGACTTTGCAAAGCTTTCAACCATGCTAGTGTGTGTTAACATCTGAAAGACTGAGGTCCAGTATATGGCATTCAATAAACTTATTTAACTACAGAAATAATTGTCCTGCTCCCCATCTGTTTATATCTCAAAGACTACCACTTTGTAGTTCATAAGTTTGGAGATGCCCCTTTGAGACAATGCTGTCTTTTAGAGGAAATGATTCTGGCTGACTAAAGCCCTGCCCTGCCCCCATTCTGGTAGTAACCCACCCAGAGGTTGGTCAGGAGGCTGCCGGGGAAGTGACAACTGAGAGCAATAATATCTTATTTTGAGACATGGTCCCATGTAGCCCAGGCTGGCCTCAAATCTACTTTGTAGCCAAAGATAACCTTGAGCATCTGATCTTCCTGCCTCTACCTCCAAGTGCTGTCTGTAATAGAAGATGGGCACTGCTCATGGCGTGAGCAGCACTGGAGAGCCAGCGTAAGGCCTGGTACGTATTACACAAGCATCTACCAGTTGAGGTGGAAGACAGGGTTGGAAAGGAGAGCCTGGGCAAATGGAGGCATCAGGTCAGCCAGAGCACAGTTAAATGGTGCTAGTTAATGGGGATCCTTTGAATCCTAAGGAAAAAAATGTTAACTTCCCAATGGGGGCAGTCAAGCTTATATTTACCCATTTGGATTATGTTTTTCTAGCCAGTCCTGGCATTATTAGCTCTAAGAATGCAGAAAGTGGCCGCAGCACTCCTCATATTGGCTGAACAGAGACACGTGATCATGCATTTAGAATGGAGAAAACGGAAGATCCAGATAAGTTCTTGCCTGATGCCCCAGAAGCCTGCAGGGAGGTTGGGGAAAAGTCCACGCTCACTTACTTCAGAATCACACAGCCCGTCCCTGTGGGTGGCGCTATCCAGAACACCTGGATCCGTGTTCTTCTCCGGGGAGTGCTTTCAGTGACGGCCACTGGGCAGTTACTCATAAACTGGGTCTCTTCTTCATCTATGATCTGTGAAAACCAGAGGAAAACGAACATGTTAAAATGCATCACCAGCCAGGCACGAGGTGGCATTCACAGGCAAGAGAAAACAGATCTCTGTGAGTTCGAGGCCAGCCTGATCTACAAAGTAAGTCCAGGACAGCCAAGGCTACACAGAGTAACCCTGTCTTGAAAAACCAAAAATAACAAACAAACAAACAAAAAAAATTTAATGCAGCACCCTGGGAGAGGTTTGGTAGGACTCTGGGGCCTCTGAATTGACTCGATTTTATTTCTAGACCTGTCGTTTTGCATTAGTAGCCTTTGATCCTCAGGCTCCAGACCAGTGCCTGACAGAGAACTCCCAGACAATATGATTACAAAGTTCTGGCACATTAGTGCTCCCTACGCCCAGACATTGGCCAGCACTTGGAGGAACTGACCACTAGATGATTGTCTCACTGCTCTACAACCACCTGTGCATGTTCTGCTTCAGAAGCAGAGGGGATGGAGGAGGAGGGTGACTGGCAAACACACTATGACTGGCTCTTGTTGCTGAGCTGCAGTTTCAGAACTTGTAAAGGAAGTACAGCAGAACACAGAAGCACCCAGTGTGGGCATTCCCAGCAAAGGGCATTAGGGCTCACCGCCTGGGCAGCTTCTGCTGACGTGACTATGGAAGTAGTCAGGTGGAAAAGTATGTGATCTGCTGTAGGAGAGTCTGCCCGGAGACTAACAGCCAATGGCAGGCTCGGAGATGGTGGGGAGGAACCTGATTGGTCACCCAAAGCTATATAACCTGCTATCTCTTCCAGAATGAAGAGTCTGCATCTGCTCTCCCTTGGATTGCATTCACCCATCCCTGTCCCATGTCTGTGTGGTGACTCTGTGCCTTCACCCCATTGGCCTGAAACCCCTGTCCTCACCCAGGGCCTGGACTCTTGGGAGGAGGCCCAACAACCCAGCTTCCTGCCATACCAACTTTGGTAACTTTAACTTATGCCTTCTATTTAATTGATATTCTCCATAGTCTCCTAGATTAATCCCAGTGATTTTGAAGGACTCCACAAACAAGATAGTAGCCATTCTCATTCCTCCAAACCATTTCATTCAGCCCTTCTGCTTGCTTGTATAATCCCCTAGTAGAAGCATGTAAGAATCTTTAGTAAAAGCCACTGTATCTAACTATTATCTTTATTGTGCCTATTATCTTAATTTCTTACTGACAGTTTCATGTTTTTCTAAACACCTTCAGTTAAATTCAATCCCTATTACTCTCTTATTTCCCTCCCCTCTTTCATGGAAATCCTTCTTTCTAACAAGTACTTCTGCTTTTGTGATGTGTTTGTGTGTGTGTGTGTGTGTGTGTGTGTGTATCCTCTGGGTTTAATTAGAGTCTCTTGCATGAACCTATATGGGAAGTTATTTACCAAAGTATGGGAAGCTTATCAGGGGTTTCCCCACCGTCTTAGTTAAGGTTATTATCGATATGATGAAACACCATGACCAAAAGCACAGTGGGGAGAAAAGGGCTTATTTGGCTTACACTTCCATCTCATAGTCCATCATTGAAGGAACTCAGGACAGGAACTCAAACAGGGCAGGAACCTGGAGTCTCACGCAGAGGCCGTGGAAGAGTGTTGCTTACCGGCTTGCTCAGCCTGCTTTCTTATAGAACCCAGGACCACCAGCCCAGGGATGGTACCACCCACAATGGGCTGGGCCCTCCCCCATCAAGCACTAATTAAGAAAATACCCTATAGGCTTAACTACAGCCAGATCTTTATGGAGGCATTTTTCTCAATTCAAGTACCCTACTCTCAGATGACTATAACTTGTGTCAAGTTGACATAAAATTAGCCAGCACAACTGACCCTTTGTCAACTTGACACACAAACAACGGTGTCAAGCCACAACCTTTCCTTTCTTGTTCACCCACAAGATCACACATTAATATTAACATCACAATATAAAATATTCCAACTTGTAAAAGTCCCACAGTCTTTAAGAATTCAAACACTTAAAAGTTCAAAGTCTCTTTAAAATACCCAAGCTCTTTCTTAAAATCCAAAGTCCTTATAAAACCCCTAAAGTCACTTCACTGTGGGTTCCTGTAAAATCAAAAATAAATTAAATACTTTCTTACTTCAAAAAGGAAGAATCAGGGAGCAGTCAAAAACTGAACAAAGTAAAACCAAAGTCCAACTGTGTAAATAACTTGATGTCCAACTTGTGGGATACAGTGCTGATCTTCTGGGCTCCTCTAAAAAGCTGAGGCCACTTTTCTCGCTCTGCCCATCAGCAGCGCAGACAGCTTGTCTTTTACTTGCCTGCTGGTTTCACTCCACCACTGCTGCTGTTCTTGTTGGCTGTAACATGTACCAGTATCTCCAAAATGAAATGCTGAGGTCTTCTGCTGCAAGTAAGTGGGCTGCACTTGCCTCTCTGAGCTCTCTTCAGGGCCTTCAGTCCTGCCATACAGTACCAAGGCTCAGCTGCTCTCCATGACTCCTTCAGAACCAGTACCACCTGGGTGACTCTACCTACCAGGTTCACCTCCCAGCAGGCGGTACAGCCTTGGCCACCCCTGGAACACAGCTTCTGTGTGCTGGCTCTGAGGAAGCGCTTCCCGGAGGACTTCACCTTGGTGACGATGGTCTCTCCGTAATCACAGCTGATTCAGCCCCAGCTCAGCAGAACCACAGGTTCCTAACTCAAATTAGCAAACTGCCTTGATAGAGTCATTAAGGGATTTTCAAACTTCCCTCTAAAACTTCACAAGCCAGGCCTCCATCTTCTGCAACTGCTTTCAACATTATCTTCCATGCTCCCACAGAACAGCTCACAAGTTTGAACACTCAGTGGCTCTTCCAGCCCAAAGTTCCAAAGTCCTTTCACAATCCTCCCAAAAATACATGCTCACGTCTGTCACAGCAATACCCCACAATCCTAGTACCAACTTGTCTTAGGGTTACTACAGCTTTGGTGAAACACCGTGACCAAAGCAAGTTGAGGAGGAAAGGGTTTATTTAGCTTATACTTCCACATCATAGTCCATCACTGAAGGAAGTCAGGGCAGGAACTCAAACAGGGCAGGAACCTAGAGGCAGAAATTAATGCAGAGGCTACGAAGAAATGCTGCTTACTGGCTTGCTCCCCATGGCTTGCTCAGTCTGCTTTCTTATAGAACCCAGGTCCATCAGCTGAAGGGTCACCCCACCCACAATGGGCTGGGCCCTCCGACATCAACCACTAATTAAGAAAGTGCCCTACAGGTTAGTCTTTAGCCTGATCTCTACAGAGCCATTTTCTCAATTCAGATTACTTCTTCTCAGATGATTACAACTTGTGTCAGGTTGACATATAATTAGCAAGCACAGTCACTGAAGAAAATATCAGAATGCACAATTTTTAATAAATTTTTGGATTAAATTTTATATTCTATTGAGTTTTTTAATTTGATTTTTGAGAACTTCATATTCGATATATGTATATATACGTATGTATATATATATATATATATATATATATATATATATATATATATATATGTAACTTGCATCACCCTTCCTTCCCCTTCAACTCTTCCCATGTCTCCCCCAACTCCCTCTCAAATTTATTCTTTAATTATTCACCAGTGACTCTGTCTAACTGTTTTTTTCTGTTTTGTTATTAATTATTGATTTGATCTCTTTAATAGACATAAGTCTGTTTCTTCTGGTAAGAATCTTAAAAGATTATGCCTTTTGAGGAATTGGATCGTTTCAATCCATGTTATCAAATTTGTGGTTATGAGTTGTTCACATTATTTATTTAAAATATTTTTAACCCTTGGATCTATAGTGATGTTCATTCTTTAGTTTCTACTTCAGCAGCTGGTGTCTTTTCTTTCTCAAACTAGTTGAAGGCTGCTCAATTCATTAATCAAAATAAAAAAGGAAAGAAAGAGAGAGAGAGAAAGAGAGAGAGAGAAAAAAGAACCACCAGATTTGGGCTTTGTTATCTTTCTTTACTGAATCCATATTTTCAGTTTCATTGATTTCTACTACTTTAAAAAAATTACTTCCTTTTCTAAGAACATTCATTTGCTATGTTTCTAGTTTAAAGTAAAAGCTCAGACCATTGAGTTTTAGATCTTTATTGAAAAAGATCATTGAATGCTATAAATTTCCCTCTAAGCACTGCTTTTAAAATATCACACATATTTTAGTAAGTTGTGTTTTCCTGTTCATTTATTTGAAGTATTTTAAAAGTTCTTCTTAGAAATGGGCTATTTACCCTCCAGTGTTTTAGAATTTTCAAACTTTCTGTTATTGGCTTCCTGCCTGATTCTGGCATGAACTAAGCATTGTGTAATGTCTGTTCTCTTACATTAGTGAAGGCTTGTTTCAGGGCTCAGGATGTGCTCTAGCTTGGCAAACAGACCACATAAGCCTAAGACTGTGGAATGCGCTGTTTACAGGTGAAGCAGCCAATGATGTCAGTTAGCAGGTAAGTGATAGAGCTGTTGAGTTCAACTAGGTTCTCCGCAGTCTTTTCCCAGGTCCCTGGGTCTGTCCACTCCTGTTAGAGGTGTGTTGAAGTCTCCAGCTATCACAGGGGTTTGGTTTTCCCTTGAGATTTTTAGCCTTAAATGCTTTTGATGCTCTGTGTTCACATACATAGAAAGACTGTTGTATCATCTTCAAGAACTAACTTCTTTAAGTGTGTGTAATGCTCATGTTTCTCATGAGAATTCTTGCTCTGACTTTGTCTCTGACTAAAGGTCCCATAGTGAGCTGCTCTCTGCTCTCCTTGATTAACACTAGCATGGTATCTCTCTCTCTTTTCTCCTCGCTTCTCTCTCATGATTTCTATTTTAACTGGTGCATTTAGATTACTGACATTCTAAGTGATTAGTGGATTGATTATATTATATTTATTACTCCTTCCTATAAGTTATTCTTGCTTCTTGCCCATTTTTCTTTTTCTCCCTTTTGTGATTTTAACATTTGAATATTAAACTTTTTTTTTTTTTGACAGCAGCTCAC